TTTTGCTGAATAAATCCTATCTAAAATGTACAAAATATGGTGAGTCTCTTCTTGTGATTTATCATTCCATTCAAATTTTTTCGATTTGCATATACAGGGTGACTCAAAAAAATTAATGAATGCGTAAATTTATTTTATTGATTTAATCAGGAACTACAAAACCGAATGCTTTGAAATCTTGCAGATGTTTTAAGGTTATAAAGAGCATAATAAATTTTTAGTCAAAATATATTTGGTTATCTTCTACAAAAAACTGATGACGTCAGCTCAAAAGTTTGCCGAATAAATCGTGTCTGAAATGTACAAAATATGATGAGTCTGTACTTGTGATATATCATTCCATTCATATTTTTGGATTTGCATATGCAGGGTGACTCAAAAAAATTAATGAATGCGTGAATTTATTTTATCGATTTAATCAGGAATTACAAAACCGAATGCTTTGAAATCTTGGGAATATTTTAAAGTTATTATAAGCATGGTAAACTTTTGTTCAAAATGTATTTGTTCATCCCTCCTAAAAAAATTGATGACGTCACCCTTAAATTTTGCTGAATAAATCCTATCTAAAATGCAAAAACTATGATGAGTTTGTACTTTTGATTTATCATTCCATTCATATTTTTTAGATTTTCTTAAGAGGTGGTTCAAAAAAATTAATGAAGTCAATTTATTTTATTGATTAAATTAAAGGCAACACTTATTATTAGTATTACACCCCAACCAACCTAATTTGGTAGACACAAAATTTGTTAAAGGAAAAACTCTGTTTGAAACATAAGGGTAGCACGCTTATTTACATCGACTTTAACATTACAGACCTGCATTTGTTTTATGCGCTCACTTGGTTCCGCGAATGTGGAATAGACATGTTTATAATCAACCAATTGTGAATTTCACCGTCAAGAATTAAAATAAAACCCAATGTTTTATATAATAAGTGGAAGTCGAAGCAATAAAACCGATGGTCGTTTTGTTTACAGTTTCTCTGTTTGACTCTCACGTATGCTGTTACGCTTGTCATCTTAAATTAAGAATGTTTATACATAAACGATTTTCAGTTGCCTTTCATATTACTAGACAGCGGATTTCTGTCGGGCTACGTCACGATTATAGGGGGGGACGTGCTGGATCGCCGGGTGATAGATAATCACTGAATTTAATCGGTACTAATTCCATAAATATAATGAACGATTTATTAATCAAACGGCTAAGTAAATGAGAACGGGAATTAACAGCAGAGTGCAACGAAACAGCGTTATTCTAATCTCAAATAAACGAAGTGCAGTCCGCAACCGCAATGAATTCGCATCCCGTACGAGCCGTACCGAGTTTGGCCTTGCCTAGCCCGACAGAAATCCGCTCTCTAGATATTACACACCGGCGCCGTATACGTGAGTAAATTGTTTCGTTATTTTATTGATTATAAGAAATCAATATTCAAAACGACCCAATTCATTTTCCCGAAAATTTGGGAATACAATAATTTTATTCTTAGTATTACACTACATCTATCCCAACTGATATACGTGTCCTTGCAAAAATGTTGATGACGTCATCGCAATTTTTTTTAAATTCCCACTACAAAAATGTAATGAGAAAAAAAACACAATAGGCATGCAGTCGTCAAGTTTCCGACAGCGAGGGAAGTACTGTCTAAACTCTTTAGACCAATTTTTCAATAACAGTTTAATAGCTGATGTAAATGTGTTATTGCAGCCTCTTGGGAAGTTAATACTTATGTCAAAATGTTACGCGTATCCAAGATAATTTTCTCGTATAAAAAAATGGGTCGAAGGTTATTTCGACAAAACTTCCCTTGCCCTTGAATCATGTTCCGACAAATCCCGCTTGTTGAAAAAATAAAATTTGATTTTACAATTTTCGTTTTTGTGTTCACTTCTATAAAGTAAAAACTAGCAACATAAATAACACCTCCGCAGCCCCAAGTATGGATGACGTAAAATAAATTTAAAGCAAATAACCAACGGGGAAAATGTCCTCTCAGCACTAATAACAAGCTTAAATTCATTGTTTATGTTTATACATCGAAAGAACGTCACATAGAAATTTGATTTGAAAAAGGTCGTCTCCTCAAAACAGGAGGCTAAAATTATTAATTAAGACACAATCGAACGGAATGTTCTGAATATTCTTATTTTATCATTATTAAATAAAGATGTGCGTATTCTCACATTTCCGAAAAAATGGGGTGACTCGTTCTTAATTTGATCAAAAAAAATTTGGGAGGAAAACAAGAAAAACGGCCAAGTGGTAAAATGCTATTATATTCTATTAATTTTTTTACGAAGATTTGGACGTTTACGGAACAAACTCAAAACGGATTCGTCCACCACAAGCAAGGGAGTACATTGTTGTTTAACATTTAAATCATTTTACGATAGAATTCTTTGAAATTACGTCATCAAATTGTTGGTGGGGATGATTAACTAAATTTTGGTTAGCGTTTAACCATATATATGATATTCCTAATATGTATACAAAATTTTACAACAATTAGTCCAGTAGTTTCGAAGATTACGTGTCTAATAGAAATCGACATAGACACCAGACAGATCGACAGACGGAAACAATAAATCACTTTTTTTGTCCTCTAGGGGTCACGAAATGTCGAAAAGACATGAAACTGACAAGTCGCCCGACGGACCCGATCACTATACTTCCTTAGCTTACGCTCGGAAAGTAAAAAATTCATTAATTAGAAGTGTGAAAAATTATAATATAGACCCTATGAATACTGTGTTCAGGTTACGTTAGTTTAAAGTAAGAAAAGAGAGTCATCAATCGTCTCATTTTAAAAAGAATTAAACATAAAGAAGAGAACCCGATAAAGTTTGTAGAGGAAGTTACAGGAAGTCAATTTAAGTGAGTCGAGGAAGTCGTAAGGAAGTCATACAAAACGGGGAACTTTAATGTACAAAAAGTACCGCGTGGTTTGTGGCTCATTATCCAGCAAATTAAGAGCTAAATTCGAGTTTGCTACAGGTTAAGTACAACAAAAAACAAAAAAGAAAAACAAAGGTGGAAATGAAAAATTGAAACGAGTGTATAGATTATTGTTAAATAATGTCTAACTTGGATCGTATATTTGAGTGTTTTGTTGCGTAGTTTATGAGCACGCCGTTGTATTGTGTATACACCGTGATAAAGCACTTAATAAATGTCACAATTCCCCCCACACAGCTTGTAATCACGCCTTGATTTGAATCCTTTTTAATTGCTGTCCAAAATAAAAATTCGGGTTAAAAATAGCGCCCACAAAATATTTACGTCTGATTTCAATTTGTTTAATGTTTATGCACGTAGCACGCTTTGTTGGCTCCATCAAGTAATCGATTCAAAGGGGATGTGACAGCTCGGCAATCATTTTCGGTAGAAACAGCGCCGTAAATCACCGTAATTAGCCTAAACTTAATTATGATACGCGGAAAAGTTTTCATCGGCGGAGAAACAAGAATGTGTATTTTTTTAATTTATTCGCAGTAACACTCGAAATAATTCATGTCAGACCAAAAAATAAATTCGAGTTGTTAATTAAAAAATAAGCTGTCCTGACGCAACGTGATATCAATATGGGCCAAAATAAATTCGCAAGTTTCGTTTAAAGGGCAGGTTTTTTTTATTCGACGCACGTAATCTCGTAACATGTCATGGAAGTATTCTGTTGAAGCAAGCCACCCTTCATAATAACTTCAACGTGTAAATTTAATATTTAATAATGCCTCTCCAGGTCTGACTCTTCGCGGATTCTTTCGCCGCGGACGCTTTAATGCACTCGACTGTACGCATAATTTAATTTACAGTGTTAACAAATTTGTTCTCATTCTTAGAGCATATATAATATAATATGCTGTGCAGTACGGCAGGTTGAGCTTTCGAATGACCCACCAAACACTTACCCTTAATGTTGCCAGTTGGGTTCTTAAACTTTACACCAGTTTTAATTACTGCAGCTCCTAACACTTTATTGTAACTACAATTAGCTCTCGACTACTCGAGTTTAGCACGTGATTGACTCTTCCTTTCTTCATGTCGCATATTGCGATCCTATAGAAACCCACATACAGGGTTTCTATAATGTTTATAGGGGCGAAATAGATCATGGAAGCGTGCCGCCTACCACTTTGTATGTATTGAACGTTCTGAATATGATAATTCTTATTTAGTCATTATTAAATATCGCCTGGAGCGGGTTAACACAAGCTCCAGAATAACCTCGAAGCGGCGTTCGCGAACAATCCAGAGGAACACAAGATTATTTAAATAGGTACCACTGTCGAAAGCAAGCTAGCCGACTCCAGTAAATGAGAAGAGAATTTGTGTCTAGTCATATCTACTCCAGTCGAGTTGGAATTATACTGTATATAATCTTTGTATAGTTAGTCGATTTTAATTACCGATCAACGTAACAATATTAACGAAAATCTTACCAGTAAAATAGGGATATTTTTTTGCATAACGGTATACAAAAATTGTTGACGCGCTTCGCCAACCACGTTAGCATTGTCCAGATAATGCGAAACGCGTGGACATTTTTTTTCTGTAGTAAACGTGATAGTGAAATTTACAAACGGCATCGCTTATTCATTTTTAGAACTGAATATTACAAATATAATGGCAGAAAAAATATATTAAAATTGACACCTATTCCGTTCCTCATTTTTTGGTAATTTCAGAAATATCCATATATATATTCTGGAAAACTTTAGCGTCTGTATGTTAACACACAAAAATATATTTCCTTCGTAATAAGTTCTACGTGTAAATTTAATATTTAATAATGCCTCTCCAAGTCTAGCTCTTGGCGGATTCTTTCGTGTGGACGTTTTAATGTACTTGACTGTACACACAATTTAATTTGCAGTATTAACCAAATTTGTTCCCGTTCTTCCACCTCCAAATATAATATATTTAAAGAGCGTAATTGAAATTACATTCCATTATTTGCTTTAGTTATTGTGTTTGTATTAATTTTTCAGTATCCGAGTGGGAAGGAGAAACATTGGAATTAACTAGAATTTCAAGATTAGACATGGGAGCTTACTTGTGTATAGCCAGTAATGGAGTGCCCCCCACTGTGAGCAAAAGAATCAAAGTTAGCGTCGACTGTAAGTATCATTCTTGAAAATTCCAATTAAATCTAGCCCCACTTTTTTCTTCCCATCCTTGTCTCGTTTTTATTCGTCCTGTGTACATGTTCAGCCGCGTTCAATATTTATTTTTGCCATATTACAAGCTCTTCTGTTTTTGTTGCGAACTATGTACACGTTTGCCAACGTACACTCTGCAGCATAATAAATGAGAATGTTCACGAAAACCGATGAGGTGAATGTGCTCAAACTAAATAAGACAGGGGAATGATGCACTCGCCATTTTTCTCTATTTTAACTATCACCTCGACTATTTGTGAACACTAACTTCAGCAGTTGGTCGGCACTCAACTATATAAATTTGTATCCTTTGTGCTACAGGAACTGCTCTGCAATTCATACTGTCACGGATTACAATAGGGCGAGAAAGGGCGTAGTAAAATTATACACTCAACTGTTATACAATGGTCAGCTGATGGCGGGGACATTTGTCTCTTTCAAAAGTTCGCGCTTGCAGGTGCCTAACGAACTTCTTTACTTCGTCACTTCGACCGTTTACAATATTATTCCTGAACACATCTACAGTATTTTCTTTCCGTCATTTCTCTGACAAATGCGGCGATCTGACAGCCACGCCAATTCGACTGTTTCCCCAAACAAAACCTTACCTTAAAAGGACTTGATTTGGAACGCAAACATCTGTTTAAATTTGCCGGTTCCTTTGCTTATATTTAGGTATGTTAAGATCGTTGTTGTCTGTATGTACGTTTTTTCGACGGCTCAAGTTACTGAGGGATAAATTTAACCCATTACTTCCTCCTCTTCATCGCAGAACACTTCAACTTTAAATTAGAAGTTGAGGTATTAGGCACAATGTTATTTGTTAAAGTTGGAAGAAGTTTAAATTTTCTAATGGTTATTCTTCACCCTCAAAATTTAAGTCGAGGTAGAACTGACGCTATGGAATAGTTTAAAATATTTATAATAAAGAATTTGGTTTCAGAATCTTGCAACAAAGTATTGAAAACGAACAAATTTAGCCCTCCAAGTGCAAAACTTGCATTTTTTATTCTAGAAAAAGAACAAAATTTACACATTTATATCCACATTTTTATCACAAAGTAGAACGAAAAATTGAGAACTTTTACATTGAACATTTAAATGCACCAGCAGCACTTTACGAGTGAATTGAGTCAATCTGATGTTCTGCAGATACTAGCAAGTTGTCAGATAACTATAATTCTTCTTAGAATAATTAATGTCAGTAAATACCTAACGAGTAATGAAATATATTAAAAAAACAGAAGCATCAAGGGCACGTGGACACAGACAGAGAAACAGACAGACAGACAGAAAGATGACAAAATTGAAATGAAATGAAAGATTTGATTATACTCTGGGGGTTATGAAACGTCGAGAAAACATGAAAATATCCATTTGTCCGATGGATCCCATTACAGTACTTCCTAGCGTATGCTCGGAAAATCATCAACCCGTAACTACACACTTTAATAAAGCACGTAGGTATAGAATGCCTATTTTGACACAAGAAAGAGAGAGCTATTAAATATGAGACTGCGTCTGTAACATATTTTATAAAACTGCTTCTTTAGCAGTAGTGCAATTGCACCATTGTACTTAAAAGGAAAAAATATGTAAAAATATACGTCATATTGCTGTGATATAGTTCTATCACTTGTATAACCATGTCTTTGACTACGGTCGTATTAAAATTTCGCCAACAGCGGGACCAACAAAACTTATTCTACTCGGAAGCGTTTCCATAGTCGGATGTGGCTGTAATTCCCTTACGGTTCGGACGAATTTAACCACGTTCGTAACAACATTTTTCTTCGGACAATAACGCGACGTTAAGCCTTTACGCTAATTAGGGAACAGTTTACCTAAAATTTTAATGGTCATCTCAAAATATAATATGATCAAAAATTCATATACAGTAAGCGATTCATATTTATATTTATATAATTTTTCTTTATAACCCAACAATACTTGTTTTGTGAAAAATAGCAATACTTTACGATAAACTATGAGATATACAGAAAGTATTTTATTTGGAGACACTGATCGACTTCAAACAACGGCATATTGTAGTTACATTTGCAATGTTAGATTGTTACTATCGTTTGTTTTTCATTTTCTCTTCTTGATTTGTTGTATTTGAAATTCTATATTCTGCCCATTGAAAGAAATTAGGGTTTAGAAAATATGCATGAATAATTTTATGAAATTCGTAAAAATGACGTATATGTACAGTTTATACACACAAGAACATTTTTCGTCTATACTATTGCCGGCTTTTCGGAGATGTATAATACCTACACATACGTAGTCCAGTTTACGAGTGAAATGACCGTGGAATATCTTTGATGAGGCGAATTGAACATTCCAAGTCTTGCAGAAGAAGTGGACTTGATATTAGTGCCCTCTTGTATTCAGTAGGAGCTTGCACATTTGTTTTCTACTGGACTTCTAGGAATCAAACGCTCAGTTGGTTTTTCGTTTGTGCGGAAAATCGCTGAAATTAACCCGACGATATAACTCAAGTAATAAAATCTGCAGATTGTGGGTATAATTGACATATTTTAGTCAACAGGAGTAAACAGTTTTATCGAAATGGACTTTTGCCTATTTTCCTCGATGTGGCAAACATTAACATTTATTCAAGAGGGACTAAATAAGAATTTAGTATGTACAAGCCTAGAAAAAGAGAGTAGAATAAATCTCGTGCAACCAAAATCAACAAGCTGTTTCTTCGTGTTTTTATAATGTACACAAAGTGTTACTGGATTTGCAAACTGCTGATTTAATTAACGTTTGTGTAACTACAAGAAAGGATTGTTTTCCTTTAATGCTCTGTGGCTTGAAACGGGGACCACTACGTCAATAATTAATTGCAAGAGGTGATTGTAATAGGACGCCCATACTGTCATGCTGACATCATATTCACCACGTGATTAATTGATCATATACTGTGCTAAAGTGTCGGTTTTGTTTCACTATGTTTTATTGTGTTACTACAAAATGTTATCGATAACACGAATGACAACCTCAATGCGATGTCGCTACACCAACTTTTTGCACCGTCCGAAATTTTCATAAAGATTACGTTAGACGCATACTCTGCTCCCGAAACACATATTTGCTTTTTATCTAAGATCGTGCATAACTGGAGTGGTTAACTTCGCCGCAAAAAAGGAAACGTTGGAAAAAATGCCAAGCGCCCGACAAGGCAGGCGCGAATATTTGACGGAGTAAACCGACAAACATGCAACCTTAAACAATGCCACTCTCGAAAAGAAAATAAATTAAATAATCATATTTATAAAGAAAAAGGATCCTTCATTTAAGCTATAAACGTGAAATTCTTGCATACTTGGAGGAATGCAGCACCTATGTCACAATCAATATGCATCTTTTTTTTTTTTTTTCTTGAACAGAATTATGGTCGTACTTCTTACCCTCTTACGTAGAACGTAAACGATGACTGACTTTTTACTTTATGGCTTGTGAAAACGGGGAAAGCAAGTGGGAACAACTAGTTACAATGTTGAGAAGCTCTGACCGATCGGCTTACGATTGATTCAGGTGTTGTGGGGTGAGACTATTTTCTTTTTTAACACTGTGCTCTGTTATCTGAATTCACCCGTCTATTTTACGGCCGTTCTGTGTGGTTTTCTCAATTTTCAATACCATATTATTCTTTTTAATACTAACTGATACTTTGACATGAGAAAAGTTGGGTCCGCGCTACCTAAAACAAGAAATAACTTGAGACGTGACTTATTGTGTTAGACAAAGATAGCTAGGTCATTTTTTATATTAATAAATGACAAGTACAGAATACTAATGTATCTGAATCGATTGGCCTCAAAACCAGCACACATCAAGTTTAGCAATGCATCTCATGTTGATTAGTCGAATATAAACATAGCATTAATTATTATGGATGTACGATTATTCAGAAATCCTAGTGCATATTGCACGAGTAGGGGCGGTATTAATCACAACCCTAAAGAAAATTTCTTTAAAAAACCTGAATGTCAATTAAAACCGACAATACACTTTCATTCGTATTCCAGAAAATAAATAGAAACTACCTTGAAGGGTAAAATGCGCATTTTAATCAATGAGTTTCATTCTCAAATAAAGACGCTAAAGTCAATTCTGCAGTGCCTCTGATAGAGAATTTCAAACTGAAAGTCTTTAGTGAACTGTACTTAACTAACTTCAACCGTGTTTTGTTTTCATGCTTTTATCTAAATCGCTGGGGTAGCGATTATTCATGCTTTTAAAATTCCACTATACTTTTTGCCCCCTGGCTAAATGATGATAATTAACCAAATTTTACCAGAGTTCGGGAAGAGAAACATCTAATAATTTTTTATGAGAGTAACTTCGATAAGGATTCTTAAGTTATCGTCGAATCATTTGCATAGACAAATTGCTGACTATATATTTCAGAGTAGACAAAGATATAGATAGTGCCTCAGCATCAGTATCAATAAAAATAAAGTTAGAATCGAGACTGCACGGTTTGGCGTTAAATACAATCTACTTGAACAAAGAAAGTGTTAAGAACTCAGCAGCCAAGCTTCTGGATAGTTAAAAATCGCTGTTTCTGCTTTATCGCTTGACAGCGTTACTAATTGAATTGGTTATGAAATAAATGGTAATTGACTTATAGTCAATTACTTGGCTGAAATAGAAAAGCAATTTAGGAAAGTACGGCAGTAAGCTTGGAGTAGAGAGGATGTTATGCATTTAAAGATGTTAGAAAAGTAAATGATCATGTAAACAGCTCGGTTCTCTCGGCTCCTGTTACTGTCGCTTAGCGGGCCATTCTCTCCCAAGAACGTGAAATATCACCACCCAGTATTCGTGCTGAAGTTCGCTGCTGTTTTGCATACTATAATGAAAACACATTTAGCTATTTCTCTGGTTGTAGGTGAATATAGGTTACGTCATGTCAATTTCACAAAAATCGATTTGTATTTTTTCCTCTTTAAAACATCGTCCTGTTCACTTAATCTGATTCGGAAAACCTCTTCTTTTCCATCGATTTGGGAAATACAGTTATTCGTCACTTAATCGGTCGTAAAAACTGTGAAAGTTATCGAAATTGTATTACTGAATTATTTTTTCCATCTTCCGGTGTACGCCAAAGACCTAGTCTAGGTCCAACATTGTTCCTTTGCTCATAAACAAGATTATTAATCTTCTGTAATAACTGATAAATTGGCATTACTAACGTTTTTAAAATTCTTGCTTAATAAAATAGTTTGCTTAAACTAATTAAGTACCAAAAACTAGGTACAAGTGTACACCTTCTTACTCAGACATACCTAATACAAAAAAGGGGGCCTACTTCTTTTTCCGGTTCACATAGTCGTTACAGCTTCTCTTCATAAGATTATCATAGATAATTAATTCGTTGTTTTAAGAACGATAACAAGTTAATGGATTACCGGCACTAACCATATCTGATTAAACAAAATTCACTTAACTAGACGCAACCAGCTTCTACAAATAAACAAACAGATTAAAGTTCTTACGTTTCCCAATTTGGTTGAATGCTCTTAACCAAGTGTTTACCGAACTTTAAAGAATATGTTAATACTCAAGGACTTAGAATTGTTTATAAAACACTCACGCCAACGTAGTTAATCAAAATCCAAATGGTGAAATAACCTCAGAAACCAACCAAATTGATAAAATCAAGTAATTTAAACAGTTCTCGATGACGACCCAAATTATCAACACAAATTGGTCTGACAAACGTCATTTTCGACAATTTTTACGGAAATTTTACGTTTTCAATTAAATGCACATTAAAACATCAGAATTACGAAGTTAATTCTTCAAATTTGAAGTTTGATATTTTAAAAAATTTGGTTCAGGGATTTTTTAACCATTTTCTTCGAGTTCTTCAGAGCCTTATCAGCAACGTACCATCGAGCTTGCACGTAATTGTTTCATCATCCTGTATAGAGACACCACTGTCACTTCATTTCTTTTATTATATCAGTAACGGGTAAAAAAATAAAAATGAGACGAAACTACATATTCAAACTATTTACATTTTCAAGAATGGGGACAAATTTGACGCGAGTAATTATATACCGATTAGTCTCACTTCAATTGTTGTCATGGTTATGGAGTCAGTAATTTACGACCAAATGGTAAAATTTGTATTAGATAACTCTTTAATCCCATCGGAGCAATATAGACTTCTTCCAGGGAAATCTATACAGGCAAATCTTATCTGCTGCTTGTCCGAGTGGAGTAAAGAACTGGATGTGGGAAATACTATCGATGTTTTATATCGTGACTTCTCAAAGGCGTTTGACAGAGTTCCATTTAGAGGTAACGTGTTACCATGGATTGAAGGATTTCTTATAAACCATACATTCCTAGTAAAAGTGGGAACATCTCTAAGTAACCCGGTGCAGGTATTAAACGGAGGTCCACAGGGCTCAGTTTTGGACCCTCTGCTTTTCTTGGTTTTACACTGCTGATTTAAAAAATGTTATAAAGTCGCCGTTTGCAATGTACGTTAACGACATAAAGTTGTATAACATAAGTAGTAACAGTATGTTTCTCAAGGAAGATCTTGGTGACATACTGAAATGGTCTCGGGGCTTCTTGCTTCCTCTTAACAAGGACAAGTGTAACGCTCTTTATCAAGGTAGTAAAACCCCTAAGACCGCTTATTATATTTCTGGAAAAGTATCAGCTTGGTCCAGAGATCTAGGGGTTTTAGTAACGTATAATCTATCTTGGTCGTCTCAAGTGGCGAAAATCGTTAAAAAACGTTCGTAAGACCCTTATTGGAGTTCGCCAACTCCATATGGGCGTCTGTCTTGCAGAGGGATATTGCAGTATTAAAATCAGTTCAGCGTAAAACAACGAGAGTTCCGTTCGGAAAAGTTCGTCCGCCATACGCTAATAGACGTGTACTAATGACGTACATAATAATTCCAATGACAGTCCCCTGTTCGTCAATTATTTACAACCAACAGACACCAGAAATAGCGCGGGCATTGCCCGAAGTTACTTAAGAATAAATTCTTGATGGCACCTACACAGTACTTTTGGGTCAGTAGAGTTTTCACACCGTGGAATTTGTTGCCTAAAATTTGTTGATACGCCGCAGTCAACAAAAGAGTTTAAAATAAGTTATGACGCATAACGAAGTGAATTTTCACGAGTCGGAAACCGGGGAGAGTACCAAGAGTCGGAGGCGAATGACTAATGAATGAGCGAATGAACCATGTAGGTGAAAAAACGCTTAGCCCAGGGGCTTGTCACTGACGTACGCCACCCCCACGTGCTATCGCAACCGTTCCCAAATCCAATATATTGAATTTAGTTCGACGAAAAAAAGAGATGTTATAATCTTGAAACATTTGTCTGTCTGTGGAACTGTAGCTCCCAACGGATAAAACCATAACAATATTTTTTTTAAGTGGTTTAGTTTTAGTTATGTTTCATGATAGTATGTTGACCGTCGCAGCAAAGCTTAATCAATTTCAGACTTTTTAAGGATTCATTGTTTTATCGGAGATTTTAAGTATTAACATTTTGTTAAAATAATTCAATTTTCATTTGACTTATTCGATATGCAGCGATGAAATGAAACGGCTGAAATATTGTTGCCCCTATTTATAGCCTCGAGGTACGCTTTTTAATTGGGAAGGTATCCGTTTGGACACATATAATTCAAAAGAAGTCCGGTAAATTTTGATAATGTTACAGATTTTTACCGGTACAATGTTGAAAATTTTCAGTTCTTCCCTTTATTACGAGAGCAAAAATATAGCTAGCTAGAGACATATTATATTGGTTGAATAATGAAGTAGACTAAAAAATGTTTCAGTAAAATACTTTTTAAATTATGTTTATTGTTATTATTATCAGGTTGTGAAAAATTCTTGTACATTTCGAAGTTTTTTGTGCCATCCCCGCTACGCCGCTTTTTGTGCAAAATTCCGCTGCCGGTAGCGGAATTCCACCTACGTCTGGCAACACTGACAGCACGTTCGACATTATTTTAAGCTTTCTTCATCACTTAATAATTTTATTTTACTTACCCTCAGAAGACTGAAAGTGTTTTAGAATGATCACGTTTCCATATATTTTAGGCAAAATTGTATACACCTAACGCCAACCTTGGGGGTTGATTAATATTGTTATTATTTTTTCTTACAGTTCCACCAATGCTGTGGATCCCTCACCAACTCGTTGGTGCTCCTTTGGCTTACTCCGTAACACTGGAATGTTTCACCGAAGCGCACCCGAGTTCTCTGAACTACTGGACAAGAGAAGACGGACAGATGATCCACGAATCTAGGAAATATCACGCGGAGAACACCATTGGAACTCCCGCATACAAGACTCACATGAGGCTGACGATCAACAATATACAACTGAACGACTACGGAACTTACAAGTGCGTTGCAAAAAATCCGAGAGGAGAGACGGACGGGACGATTAGACTGTACAGTGAGTACTTATTTTCTGTGGTTAATTAATTAAGGTGGAGATTTGCGAGGTGCGTCAAATTTCGAATTTCAACGAGAAAGTATTCTACAACCATTCAGTAATTAATTTGTGCTTGCTGAAAGCAGGGAATGAGTAATTTTTTAAGTTTACTTAAGTTTATCCGACAGGCTGCGCCACTTTTATAATAAATCTTGATTAACGTAATAATCACTTAGCAAAGCAATCAGAGGTCGAAGTTAATGGCAATCGACGATTATTTGTATGTCTACATAGTAATTAACTTTTTTTTGTATTGACTTCGTATCAAACGACATAAAATAGGACAGCAGCATTTTTTTTAACGAAAAATACGTGAATTTTGGAACGAAAAAATTATGTTGGTTTAAATCGTCAATAAAAGAAATTATTAAAAGTTCGCTACCCAACTGAAGGCATAGATAGCTTCTTGTGTGAGCACGATATAATTTCAATTGTGTTGCCAGTAGAGGCACAAAAATTCCGTGTAAATTGTTTCTGATTAGTGCAATGATTTAATTAATCAGGTTGAACCTTAAAATGTAACCTTGTTTTGTTTAGTTGTGGAAAGAAGTTTAGTTAAAGGATATGCTAATGAAAAGAGGCAGGCGTGTTGTGCGGAATGTCCAAAAAGCGTTTGAGCGGAGTTCCCGTGTCAGTTATCTCGAAGGTATAAACTAGTTATAAAGGAGAGTTGATACGTGTTCCCTGTGTGTAGGCGATCACAAATTAGTTAAACTTAGCGAATGGTTGTAGTAAAATGCGATTTTTATGTTTTGGCTCTTGGCAGTTCCGCGAGGAAGTAGTTTTGTATCGGTTGAATCTTAATATTAAGTTTAAATGAAATAAATTATTAGTATGGTGGGAAAAGGCCGTTTAGAAGTCATAAATTACCGCGTTATCGAGCAATTTGCTATAAAAGTGGAATCGCCAGACGGCAGCGGTTATATATCTGGAAACCGTTAGGAAGCACTTCGCAAAGAAACTTGTATACAACAATAACATGGACAGATGCGCGCTCGTATTTCATTTCTTATGAATGTTACTTGTTGAGTAAGAATATCTGGAAGAAAGGTATTCGATGCGGATTGGATCCACGATTTGAGCGAGCTTGGATTCTACGAGAAAGCAAAATGTAAAAACAAAACAGTGGAAACACAAAAAACTACTCCCCGACAAAATAGATGTTTCGCACGCCAACTTGAGTAGGTTATATTCACCACAAAATAATAAAATGCATCCTAATAATTTTTTGAATGCATTTTGAATTCGTCGTGAATTGAATGAACACATAAAAACTCAATCTATATCAAAAAATGAAAAATGTATAGTACAGTATGGGTTTTTATAAATGTCGATATTCATTTCAATGTTTGCATTTATTTGTTAAATTTTTTTATTTTTGCTCTTTTTCTTTTCCTGGATTTGTATTTTATCGATTATGTTACGAATTGATTCTTTTGTACTATGTGTGTTGCTTCTTTTCATTAAATTTTGTAAGTCGTGCAGTGAAACTACACACAGTATTGTTAAAAGATATGTCATACGTGATCAATAAAAGCAACTACAAGTGAACTAAATACAAATCCATGGTAATTTTCTTTTTTTGTACTAGAATTTTTTATTGTGCCATTTTTATTAGGCATGTAATAACAGACCATGACTTCAACACGTATGTGAGATAGCTTTCATCAATCTAATCATTTTATATATTAATTTAACGGTGCTAAATTAAAAAAAAATAGTACGCCATTTTGTACAAATAACATATGAAATTCTACAGAAAATGTCAAGTATTTTAGTTTTTTTTTTTTGAAAAATAAAATGATAAATTAATGTCTCCATTTTTGTGTGTCACTCAACTTGTCTTTAAATTTAGCTTTAACCTCGTGTCCTTGTCCAGACAAACTTGTGGGTAATTTGAAAATGCGCGGTTTTGTCAAATTTGTGTTTGGAGGGGGAGAGTTTTGTGAGATTACGGTTTTGTGTTTTTACATTTTGCCATCGCACGGGCTTCCGTGAGGTCGATGCTGCGGTTGGGAGCAAATCATTCAAATTACCAAATACCCTGTCGTCGGTTACGTGGGTTCTATTTGTCAAGATCCTCCCTGACCATCAACTGGATTCGTCGATTCATCTCGACCACTCGCTCTCAACGAATTTATCCTTATTTCCATACCGGTGTAGGGATAGAGCTTGATTTGAACTGAACACATCAGACAGATGTTCGATTAGTTAAATGGATCGAAAACATAACGACGTACAGACTTGATTTGATGTAAAATCAGCATAGTGGCGCTTAACGTATATAGGCTAACCCGCCTTCCCTGCTTATACCTACCTCTGTAGACGTAGAACTGCGGATGACAAATAGAAGCGGTTGTTGCATTAGCTGCCAGTGCAGCTCTTAGCATGGTTACGATGTTACTAAATCTGTTGTTTCGTGTCGACAACATCAATGTATTTTGCCACTGTATGCATGTAAACCGTAGATTTACTGGAATGACCATTCATTTTGCCAATATATCGACTTCATAGCTAGTCAGTGTTTAGCTATTTTTCGACAGATAGCTCAATGAACCCCAGTGTTTGCATTTGTTAATTAGTGTGCATCATTTAATATTAACTAAACAGGTAAGTTGACGTAATTGCATCACTACCATCCCATCTTCCCTAGAATGGAACAGTTTAAACTTGCTATTTGTATACCCGCCGGTCGCTTCCGCGTGAATACACGAAATTACATGTATTTTTCAAGTTGCATTCTCGTCGCTTCTTGATCTATTACAAAAAAAAAAAAATTAAGATGCGACTATCTGTCTATTGTTGCTTTGCAAATTTTTCTCTTTCTTTCCACTGTTTCCCTATGGAATAAACCTAGATAGTCTACTAAACATTTATATAAATTTATAGTTGTAATTTTAATTATAATTATATAATCATATCTGTATAGTAAATTTTATTGTAATGAAAGAATTGATAAGAGTAAGCACAACTATGAAACAGAAGACTGTTGTGCTCTTTGAGAGACTGTCAGAATTTCGAAAACAAATTACGATTTCGTTTTTTAGAAGCTGTATAACACAACTAACTATACTGGTTGAAAGAATCGCAAATAGAAATCACAGTGTTATTTTAAGTTACCTAACTTTATTCGTTAACAGAATTTCAAAACCAGAACGTAATTTTGTTTTTCGCAATAAAATAAAAGAGTTTTGCCTTTATCGCCGAAAGAATCTGATTCTGATTTCGTTTTAGAAGCAGTTCGCTTCACACAGCTATAAAACTGATATAACTGCGATATTATTTTTACAAAAGGCGTAAAACAATTGATTTTTTCTCTAAAAAACACGAATCGCAAGTGAGCTAGGAATACGCTAATTTTATTTTTAGAAGCTACATATGATACTACTCGTTGCACTTGATGTATAGAGTCTCGAAAACCAAAATTGGTGTTGCTTTTAAAAGTAACGTAAAAGGTTGCAGTTTCATTGCTAAAAGGATCTCGGTTTTTCAGAAAACCTCTTTGATCCTAAAGACAATAGAAATTTTACAAAAACTGTAATGTTATCTTTAAAAATAGCATAAAACGGCTTACATTTATCGTCGCAACTGAAATGAATATTGCCTCTTCAGTTCAGCGAACGAGCTCCAAAATGAATCATGATTTCGTTTTAAAAGTATCGTAATACAGTTTGATTCACTCGCCGATAGGATTTTCACAACAAATCGTGGTTGTATTTATAGCCGTGAGATAACACAGATCACTCTTCTAGTCCAAAAGATAAAAGAAAAGCCATGATTTTGTTTTTAAAAGTGGTATAAAGCACCCATTGTTTCACTGAATCTACTATGACTGCGTAGTCCTTGAGCGTTCAAGATGAATTATAATTTTTTTAGAAATACGTATTTCTCTCATTGATAGAATTACAAGAACAAACCGTCGTTTTATTCTCTTCAGAAGTATCATAATGCTGCTAAATTCACGTGATAATAACAGTACACACTGTTGGAATTGCTGAAATACATTCTCTATTCTTACATAAAATACTACGAATAGAGCTTGCTACGCTGACCAACCGAACTTGAAAACGAATCATGGATTTAGGTATAAACAGAATGTTCTATTTTTGAGACATAACATACAACGTGTTTTTTTTACATAAAACAGCTTATTTATATAGTCTCCGAAATACTACAAGGTTATATGGCTGTTATAAAATTGTGAAGACGACAATGAAACAGTTAAGAAGGCAAATCCACAGTTGTAAAAGAAAAATTGTATTTGGTTTAATGTTAGTACCAAAAACATTTAGCCCAGTAGATATTGAGATGACAAGACATTGAAACAAATCCTTGATTTATGACGCTAGGCTTGAGTCGGTAACCAGTCGCACAAAAGGAATTATAACATCCCATTATTAAATTTAGTGGGGCCATATACCCTTGTAGTATTTCGGAGACTATACATTCTCTGCTTTGATTTTTCTTAGGTTTTATAACCGTAACTTACTTTTGAATTATGTTGAAAACATTTACAAGAAAATGCTAAAAAGTTATTTAGACAAAACTTCCCTCGCCCCTGAAATAGGTATATGCGAACAAATACAAATTCTTCGAAAAATTGTAAAATTTAATTTTGCGAATTTATTTTTTATAAGTAATTATAATAAGTTAAAATAAAGAATAAAATATATATATGGTCTGTTAAAGTATAGGTAAAGGAGCATGCTATGCATATGTTTCAAATGAGTTTTTTCATAACAAAATATGATGACGTCAATACTTTATCAAGAACACATATATAAATTTGAATAGGGCCGTGTAATACCAGTAATAATAGTAGTGTATACTAAAATTTTCTTAATTTGATCATTTTTTTTAGTCACCCTTGTATAAGTAATTCTAAAAAATATGAATGCATTCATAAAAGACAAGTATGGATGCTTAATATTTTATATATATTTTCGACTGGATTTCGCATT